AAGGAAGGAAGGAAGGAAGGAAGGAAGGAAGGAAGGAAGGAAGGAAGAAGGAAGAAAGGACTACCTACCCAAATAGGCCATTCTTCCTCTTCTACCTATAGTAGATAGATAGGTAGTAGGTAGGAAGATAAGGTAGGAAAGAAGGAAGGAAATTTCTTCTTAGCTCTAGTTTGGTTCTCTCCTTGATTAGTTTCCATCCCTTGCTTCTTGTCTTGTGTATTTGAGAATCATTTAAGAGTTTGTTGTTTGGTTGGCATGAACTAGATTCACATCTAGTTCAGTAGTCAATCTCACAGAAATTTACATCGTAGTTTCCAAAGTTTTTTTGATACCCAATAATTTGATTTTTTTTTTAGTTTGAATACAAGTTATGGCTTTGTTTTTATCTCTGAGTGAATAAAGAGGGATTTCTGGCATCATGTTGCATTTCAGCAAATAGTGGCGCAAGACCTTTGTTGAAAGGTGAATAAAGTAATGGGATTTCTTTTGCTCCTTGTCAGTCTTGAAAGGGTGACTGACACATGAGGTGTTTTCTATGTTGTGCAATACTTCTGGTCACCTCTCCTTCCTGGTCTTAAAAAAAGTTTCACGGGAACAATTACCTTGCATCATCTTTTGTGTGGATAAAATTGAAATGTAGGATGCCATGGAAGCTGCCAACCTTGAAAAAGAAAATAGTACAGAGCCATGGTAGCACAATGGTTAGAGTGCAGTATTCTCCCAAATGTTCTTTTTGATTGTGAAAAAATATCTGTGAATAGTTAAAAAAATAAAATAAAGCCAGAATAGAATAAACTGGAGACACAAAACTAATTTCATCCTGTTATTTTAATGAAACCTGTTGCAAAGGGTGGGTTTTTACCTCCTGCAGTTAAAATACTTCTCAAAACTATCAGTGGGGAATGGGGCAATGCATGTATTTTTCTGGTTGCATGAGTTGGTGGGAGAAAAGGCAGATTCCTAAGCTAGTGATGGAAGAAACACAACACTCATCTTCAATTTCTTGCCTTGCTTTGGGCATCTCCTGGACTACCAATAATTGCTAAGTTTCATTTTACAGCACTAGAGCAGATTCCTATCTTGAGGATATGATGAGCAGCAAAGTTGGTTAAAGATCTACCAAGTTGTTTGTTCGGCAGACAAAATATCTCTCCACCCCACTTGCCCAGGGTATAGGATGAAAGTTGCTCTTTATCACACAGATAGAGAAAATTCTAAGAGATTAGATTTTGAAGCTTTTGACCCAAAAATGTTGGCAACAGCATTTTTTTTTCATTAGAGGTTGGGCCAATATTGATTTTGTTAATGCAATAAATTTACTCCCAGTTACCAAATTCACACTTTTTGTGGGATGCCACAATGCATTAAACCATAAACTAATCAAAGTGGATGAATTGCACAACCAGCTAAGCCACAAAAATAATAAGTAAAGTTAACATTAACTTGGTTTTATTATGACAATAGCACTTAGACTTATATACTGCTTTACAGCCCCTCTCTAATCAGTGTACAGAGTCAGCCTATTATACAAAGTCAGTAATCTGGCCCTCATTTTATCCACCTTGGAAGGATGGAAGTCTGTTAACCTGGTGAATTTGAACTGCCAAATTGCAGGCAGTCAGCAGTCAGCAGAAGAAGCCTGCAGTACTGCACTCTAACTACTGTGCCACCGTGGCTCATTATGTTGTGTTAATAACTCTGCTAGAGAACTGTACTTAGCCTGGTTAAACCTATTGTGAGAACATAACTTCTACCTTCCTCCTAAATTCAAGGCAACTTATTTGGAATTGATAATGCATGCCCTCTTTACAGCAATCCTGTGTGGTATATTGAATGAAAGAAAGAAAAATGAAAGAAAGTTCAAAGATCAACCATTAAATGATCAGAAACTGGACTCAGATCTCCTACGTGCAACTAGTATTACCCTTTGAAGAATCCTGGCTTGTCAAAAGTTGACTGTCCAATTTATTCTAGTGATGATATCTACCAGCATTGCCTAATAATTCAGAATGAATTTTCAAAAATAAGAGTTTTCTGAATGAGTTTTCAGAAATAAGAGAAAAGACTTCACTTTCCACTCAAGCAGTGTTTTTCAGAATCTTTCATTGTAGACCAGAGTTTCTCAACCTTGACATCTTTAAGATGTGTGGACTTCAACTCCCGCAATTCTCCCGTCAGTACATTGGCTGGAGAATTCTGGGAGTTGAAGTCCGGACATAAAATTGCCAAGGTTGAGAAATATTGTCCTCAACCCCTGGTCCATGGTGTGGCACCAGTCCATGGCATGCCAGAAACTGAGCCATGCAAACAAGGGAAGTCCTATCCATGGAATGCAGGCAGTATGCAAAACCATGCTCCCTCTGGTCCATGGAAAAACCTCTCTCCAGGGAACCAGTTCCTGGTCTCCAAAAGGTTGGGGACCACTATTGTAAACCATAGGTGAGGAACAGTCATGTATACACTAGTAGTCAGTATTGAGTGAGGCGGTTGCTAGGCATGCAGTTAAGGATGGAAGGAGGGTGATAGTCCATGTAATGAAGCATCTTTCTTTATTGCAGCTTTCCAAGATGTCCATGTGATGATTTTTGTGGGTTTTGGATTCCTCATGACCTTTCTTCAACGCTATGGCTTTGGAGCTGTTGGCTTCAACTTTCTCCTCGCTGCCTTTGGGATCCAGTGGGCTCTTCTGATGCAGGGCTGGCTCCATACCTTTGAGCATGGGAAGATACTCATTGGAGTGGAAAGGTAAGTTGGCATGCTTGGACATGGAAAGAAAGCATTTTGGTGTAGCAGGACACAAGTCGAGCATGAAACTATAATGAAGATAGATTAAATTTGTGGCTTAGGAATGCAAAGATATGCACTAGGTGAGAGATAAGATGGATTCTGTTATTATTTATGGAGTCCAAAATAAATGTCCAGAACATCCAAAAACAGCATTTTAGAGAGAACGTGGAAGCATCATCTGAGACACTCCATTTACTCTGAGGCACATTTGGAATTTATGACCAAAGGCACATGTGGAATTTGGAGTGAATATACTGAGTGCGCTGACAAAATGGCTGCTATGATGTATATAGCAATAGCACTTAGACTTACATATCATTTCACAGTGCTTTACAGCCCTCTCTAAGTCGTTTACAGATTCAGCGTATTGCCCCCAACAATCTGGGTCCTCATTTTACCCACCTTGGAAGGATGGAAGGCTGAGTCAACCTTGAGTCTGGTGAGATTCGAACTGCCAAATTGCAGGCAGCTAACAGCCAGTAGAAGTAGCCTGTAGTACTGCATTCTAACCACTGCGCCACGGAGGCTCTTATGTTATTAATAGTGAGCTAGTCTTTCAGGATGTTCTCTAGGGGACATTCTAGAGGACTTTGTGAGTCCAGAGGTGTCTCCTGCCAACAGATGAGATACTGGAGGCTGGTGATTTACTTTACAGCATGCAAGATTGCTGTTTGCAGTTTTTAAAAAACAGAAAATGGTCAAAGAGACAAAGAAAGTGCTAGGCACTAAGGGATATACCTGAAGGGATATTGGGGCCTGAAAGCTCATGCTGCCCTACCCTATTTCAAGCTAAGACCACTATTGTAAATTTTGCGCATTGGATGATGAAAAATGTCTATCAGGTCAAAGCTTCTGGGTTACCCTGGATGATAAATAGGAAGAGTTCCATTAGAATCTTTGTCAGTCACTTCAAAGCTAAACAAATCAATTTCTTCAATCCTCATTGCTCAGATTTGGCCCTTTCCCAATTTGCCTGAATACTTTCCAGCAAAAAAAAAAAATAGAATAGAATTGTGACTTTCCATGATTTAGAAATTCACCTTTTCTTGAAGCAACCTAATTGAATGACGTAAAAGTCTACGTTAGGGACAGGTCATAGTGGACAAAATCTACCCCTGTCACCCCCAAGGATCAACCATGACTCCAAAGGCACATAATCAAACTTCATGTGTCATTTTTGTAGCTATGTCTCACTGCTGGCTCATGTGATCAACTACAATTCCAAGATGCTCATTGTTGTGTTGCTTCAGTAAATTTCTCTGACTTCCCCATCTCTTCCTTCTCCTCTCAGCCTGATTAATGCAGATTTCTGCGTGGGTTCTGTTTGTATCGCCTTTGGTGCCATTTTGGGCAAAGTCAGCCCCGTCCAGCTGCTCATTATGACACTGTTTCAAGTGACCCTCTTCTCCATCAATGAATATATCCTGCTTGATCTGCTCCATGTAAGGCTCTTCACCTTGGTTTCAAACATTCAGAGATGCTCCCCTGTCTTAATTTCAGTTTTTATGACAAAGTTGCTTTGTGTATTTGGTTATCACTTACCATCCTGAATAACTCTGTGCAGACACAAGACAAAGAGGACAATGGTTTAAGCTTAAGGGTATGTCTTACTGTAGTGGAATGTAATCTGGATTCCCAGGAGGGAGGGGCTACATTCCAGAAAGCAAAGAGCTAATGAAGTTTGGAAAGTTTGATCAGAAGGAAGAGGTTTAAAGCAGCTCCTCCCTAGTGATTCTCACTTATAGGTCTAGAGATGAAGAACAATAAAGGAAGTAACTCCATCTATTGTTCTTGGTTCTTGGGACCTGACACAAACTTCCTTCAGCTCAAAGCCTACTCTAAGCTTTGCAGGGCTGGGCATGAGAGACACTTCTTTAAGCAAGCATCCTGATACTAGTCTATTTTGGGAACAAGAGATGGGTCAATCCTCCGGCACCAGAGATCATCTTCTAGCTCATTATAACACACTGACAGGAGGAAGAGCCTCAGAAATTTGAACTTGAATTTTGGCTTGTCTTGCATTAGATGCATGCAGTTACTTGAAATCTTTTGTAATGAATTCATGATATAGTTTTTCTAAGGGATAAAACTTTGACAGAAGTTTTCTGCCCTTGGAGGTATATTCTTACAATTGAGAGAGAAAATCCTAACATCACACATGAAATATGTTCCAAAAGTAGATCACACCATGGTTTAATGGGGAAAAGAAATTCATAATTTCTAAGGAGCAAAATAGATGCCTTCAATTCCTATAGGACTGCTTCCTGTTTTTTAAATGCTTTCTAAATAACCTCTAATTCCAATTTCAATATTAATCTGTCTGCTCATGGTCCTTGGTGACTACAAAAATGGAGCCTGTCAGTGTGACTTACTAGCTACATTTTTTACACCCATGTTATAATACATCTTTCCCCAAGTAAGTGCTCTCTAAGATGCATTGCATAACAATTTCCAGAATTTCCCAGCAGCATAGCTTAGAAAGCAGGTGGGAATTTTGCAGTCCAAATGCATCTAGAAGTCTCCAGGTTGGGGAAATTGATTTAGCAACATTTGCTCAAACTACCTGCAGAACCTCCTAGATATCCAATAAGAAACTCACAACTATACATGTACCAGAAAAATATTTGCTAAGATTTCAGATTTTCTTCAGCTTTAAGAAGGGTGGCAAAAAGAAACAGGACTTTCTTGGTGATAGCTCTTCTGCTAAGAAATGCTTGCTTGGTTTCTACCATGTTACAGTCTTGGATGAAGACTGCTCTTTCAGGCTTCTAAAACATCAAGAGCTGTCATTTTATTTGCTATGCTTCACATTTCATTCCTGCAGTCCTTTTTGTGTTGTGTTCTTTCACTTGGATGTGTTTTGATTATTCTTGTATTTTATTATCCCTAAATAATAAGTGACTGTATCTTGCTTAATGCCCATAGGTGATAACATGTTACTGGTCAAGGTAGACCATTATATTACAGTGCCCCTTCATATCCACTGTGTGGGTGAGAGGACAGCCAAGTTAGGGAGGGAGCAGAGCCCATTGTTGGCTTCTTATCCATGGCCCACAAGGTGCAGGGCACAACTCTTATGGGCTTGGAATGTGGTTGCACAAGTAGGGGCCATTTAGATTGAATGTACATAAAAGCCCCTGAGAGGAACAGATTAACCATCAGATAAGGGGGCTGAATGAGATTGTGGCTTGAGGGTCTGAATGGGAAAGCAGATTTAAAATAATAAAACCAGCTTGTGGAATGCAGGGAGACCTCATTGACTTCAGCTCAACATGTTCTTCTTGCAAACAAAGGAGCATTTAATTTGCTAAATGTGTACAGTTCATCTTCTACTCTCATTCAGGCTGAAGAGACAAGAAGATTGAATAAATACAACATCCAAAATTATTCTTCCACCCCTTGTAAAACCAGAGATAAGGGTTGTGTCCTCTGAAGGGCAAAGTAGTTACAACTCCATTCTTGGGAGAAGAAATTGCATGTATTTTTTTTTCAATGTTTCCTTTCTGTCTTTTTTGAAATATTTTGTTTATCTCATTGTTCAGCCCAAAAGACTCCCAGGGTATCTTTCAGATAAGATAGTCCTTGACAGCTGGCTTACAATTTCAAAGATCCCTTAGCAAAGTAAAAGAGAGAGAGAAGGGAGGAAGGCCAACAGAACTAAGCAACATGAAAAGTCTGCTACTTCTTCTTCCTCAAGACTCCAGTTTCTTACATTCTCAATATGGGTAGCAGTGAAGGGAGTTGTAGTCCAACACATTTCCTGAGTACACATAAAGGAAAGTTAAATTAGAGATATCGATGGGCTGAAGATCCAGAAGTCCACGTCTATGAAGATTCCCAATCATCTAAGTCATGGCTGTCCCAAAGGTGCTTTTCAAAAGCTAACAGGGCTTTCTTGAGTTTTTTTCCCTTGAAAACATTTTGCTTCTCATCCAAGAAGCTTCTTCAGTTCTGAACTTAATTGAAGAAGCTTCTTGCATGAGACACAAAACATTTTCAAGGGGAAACCCCGCCCCCACCCACCCCAAAAAAGTCCAGTTGCCCTTTGGAAAGCACCTTTTGGGACATCCAGAAATAGAATTTTCAGGTGCCCAAAGGCACAAATGTTCTATTTAAATTGTTAAGCAACTGGGTTCAAGTCTCATTTGTGATATACTGATTCTCTATAGAATAAACCAACTACTTCTGGGTAGGCTTCAACCTCTTTTATATTGGTTACTGCAGGTGAAAGATGCTGGAGGATCCATGACTATTCATACATTCGGTGCTTACTTTGGCCTAACTGTGACCTCTATTTTGTACCGGCCCAACCTTGAGCAGACCAAAGACAAGCAGGAATCTGTTTACCATTCAGATCTTTTTGCCATGATTGGTGAGTTGTGGTTCCTCTTTCTGTTAGACTGGAGATACTTTGCTTTCTGAGACAAGAGGTTAGGAATAGTGAAAAAGAGGCTCAGGCTACTAATGAAGAGGTCTTTTCTCTATTTTTATTTCTGTTCAATGTAGCCCAAGTGAAGGTACTTAAAGCGGAAAATATTGTGAAGGTATTGTGGACTCTGAGCCTTTAATCCATCAGGCACGAAGCTGCATGCTCATCACATCTCGAAAAGCAGGAAAAGATACGCTTGGCATGTTTTGGAAATCTTGAAATCTCTTTTGATCCTTATGATCACATTGAAGGGAATGTAGAGTTTCTTGATGAGCTCTTTCTAAACTACCCATTTACTGATCAGCAAACCTCATTAAATTAGGGAGCTTGGTTTCCTGGTTCTGCTATTTCAACCTTGTTTTGGATATTTTTAAAATGCATCCTGATATGCATAGAAGTATTTCTGTACAAGAATTCAGTAAATATGCTGTTATGCAGATCAATATTACTGATTGATTAGTAAATTATTTTTCCTGCCCTGTCTTTAGTTCGGCTAGAGAGCTTCTCAGGGGGCTTACATTCATCCCTCATGCTTTATCCAGAAGAGTGAGCTGCCTGCAATTTTTTGGTCTGTCCTTATAAAAAAGTCAGTTCTTAACCACCATTGCAGGAACCTTATTTCTGTGGATGTACTGGCCCAGCTTTAACTCAGCCATTTCCAATCATGGAGATGCACAGCACCGAGCGGCCATCAACACCTATTGTTCACTTGCTGCTTGTGTCCTCACTTCTGTGGCCTTCTCTAGCCTCTTGCAAAAGAAGGGAAGGTTGAACATGGTGAGTAAAGTCAGGCAAGATGTCATGTCTTTCTCTTATCTTTTGCAAAGTTTCATGGAATCCTCTATTACGGGTGTGTGTTTATCAGTGTAGGGCTGCTTATGTGTCTACTTGCCTACCTGCTTGCCTGCCAATCAATCAATCAATCAATCATTAAAAATGGTGTCATGGCTTTCTATTACCTTGTACTAAGTTTCATGGAACCCCCACCAAAGGGGAGCGGGTGTATTTATTCTTTCTTTCTTTCTTTCTTTCTTTCTTTCTTTCTTTCTTTCTTTC